CAGGAGACAGACACTATCTCTACTTTCAAGATTCACACTTTCCCTTCTGTTTTTCACTCATCATGTGTTTTTTCTGATGTGATTTAGTGCTATATAAACAAAACTGACGTTAAAGATTGAGTATGCCAGGTTTGTGAAGGCAGCCTGATACACGTCGATTCAGTGAAGCTGCTGTCCAACCACAGTGCAGGCACGTTGAGCTGGAGGTAGCACTGAGGATATGCTCTTGGTAACCTGCTGTTTTTAGCTGCTGTTTGCCAGCAACAGTGAAACTTTCTGTGAAGTCGATATGATTTTGTTGGACTCGTAAATAAAGTCTTAGGTGATGTGAGCATGTAATCAGCCTGTTTATCTTGAGCCTAACATCAGGATAATGTTATCTTATAAGCAGCTGTTGTTGCTGCTCCTGTCAGCTGTAACCTGTTGGCAGTAACTGGAATAAATAAGCATGTTTATGGTGTGTTTCCAATCAAGGGCAGACTGCACCTTTAACCTCCTGGGACCTGGCGCTCACATATGTGGACATTTATTTAGACCAAAATACCAATCAGCCCAAATATCAAAGAGAAATGAAAAACGCTGCTGTGGAAGAGTTCAGGTCTGAGGAGATAAGACAGCAACAAAAAGAGAGTCTATTACTTCTTCCAACAGAAATCAAGGTGTGCTCGTAGTTACTAATGGTCAGAGGTTTATGGTTTCGGTTGGATAAAACTACAACTAATGACCAACCAACAGCAGTGAAAAAACTGGCAGCATACAAAGCAGTTTATTTGCACAAGCAGGCAAAGAAGGATGCTTAGATGCAGCTCTCAGCTTCTCCAAACGTAGAAGACGAGATATTTTCCTCAGACAGGACTTACAGTCTGTTCTGCAGCCTTCAAGCTTCTGAAAACACCCTGAACGAACTAAACTATGTTCTCAAATTGTTTTAGCAATGCTCGAGTTTCACAGTGTGACCCAGAACTACCCCCACAGTTCATCTACTTTAAAGAAAGGTTCTGCTTTACCCAAACCCGGGCGGAAATCTGCTCCTGACAGGAACACGGACTACGCACAGTCCACATAAAGTAATTTCACATTTGGATTCACCAACTGTTATGTAGCTATAGCACTGGACTGAATAGGTCCTAGCAAAGTGCTATGACCAACAGAAGATGTGACAAGAAGTGATCTGTTTACAGTAAAGTAGGAGAAGAGGGGAGTGGGATGAACAGAAGGAAAAAGCAGACGTGCACTGTCTCCAGCAGGATTTCTTATAACAGCCATTACTGAATGAAAAATCACTAATCATGTAGCGATGCTTTGGAAACACACACACACACACACACTGCTGTGTCTGCCTGCATGGTCGGGTCCACCTGTACTTAAATCAAAGTCAGTGTGTTTTTCCATGATAACGTCCATCCTTCAGTTTGGGCAGGACACCGAGGACACACAGCGTTTGAAATGTTGTGGCTCAGCACACATGTGTAGCGTGTTTTGTTTTTTTACAGGTGCGTATAGCGTTGACAAAATGCACGAAAGGACCAAACGAATACTGGTTTAAATGTTATTAGTCAGGCACAAACTGAACTGCAAGTGCTTATTGTTTGCTCCCTGTTTCAGGAGTTACAGGTGGTGGTTTCACACTCGCTCCTCCGTGCAGGAAGAGCCTAAGCCAAAGGAGTCACACTGAGGGGGAGGTCCACAGGGGCAGCACTGAGGGGCTCTCCATCCATCAGCACACAGTAAGTGATGCACGGTTTATCCTGACAGAATCACATTCTGCAGCGTGATTAACAAATGTTTTCACATGAGATATATGAGGCGACGCTCTGCATTCCAAAAACTCTGTCAGGCTGACATTGCATTTACTGCTAGAAGGGGAAATTGATCAGTGACGATTTTGTGTGTCTTTGTGTTCAGCTGAGTGAAAACAGCACGTGGGCCAGAGTCAAAGACGTGGTAAGGAAGACTAAGTTAAGGAATCACAGCAGGCTGGGAGCAGCCTCAGCTTCACTGAAGATGTCCTGCCCACAGCTCTACAGGTGAGGAGCATGCTCCACACCACAGGGTACGTCTATGATCTGCAGTCAGGTCCAGAAGAACTTAGATAAACGGCCATTTTGCTCCTTTTTCACATTTTGTCGCTGCACACTGGCCCAAATAATCCGATGGGCAGCTAATCAGGGGTCCGTATACAGCTGGGGACCCATCAGAGAGGCAAAAGGTGGTCTCACAAGTGATGCAAGTGAAGCAGACCATCATCAGGCTGAAAACGTCCCACCCTCCTTTACGAGAACATTTCATGACACCCACACACACAACACAAGAAGACTGTTGATTTATGTACCTGCGCATGTCTCAGTGTATGTTTGTTCTTCTTCACAAACATAAACAAAACTCACGTTTTCTGCTCACTTTCAGTAAAACATGTATCAACATAATCCTGCTTTCCTTCTTCAACTTGTCAAAGACACGTTACATCCTCACGGGTCGAAATCACACCAATTCAGAGCCACTGAAAGGGCACTGTACCTGTGTCCCCTGTGTGATAAGGAAGATTTATAGTTATTTATATGTGAATATCCAGCATGAGCAATGCGTTTTGGAAAGGACAGCCTAAGAGACCTTTAGGCAGGATGCAAAGACTGGGACTCTAAAAGGGGCTTTTCGCCTGTTCTGGATGAACACTGGCTCTTCTTTATTTGAGAGCTCGTCGAGGGAGGAGTTTAATGGGAGGTGGAGGGTTGCTGGCACTTCAGCCTCTCCCTCCGTCCTGACTGGAGCTTGGCACCCACCCAGATGGACAGAGCAGGGTTGGGAGAGTCAAATCAGCATTCCTCAGTGTTCCCGTGTAGGAGTGGGAGTCTGGGATTTAGGCCTAGTAAGGTCTCGCTGTAATCCAAGATGTTTTAGAAACACCCTTCTCCTGCTGACACATGCACAAAGTAAAAGAGTATCTTAGATGTGTATGTACACATGTTTACTCCCTGCCTTTTCATCTTTACAGGCCTGATCTGGGACCAGTACAATCATCTAGCACCAGCAGGAACTCTATGGTTGCTTTGGGCCACCGGAGTACACTGGACTTCCCGTGGCTTGAGTAAAGGTCCGGGTAGTGAAGAGTGCTTTTGATAAAAGAGCAGAACGACTTGATGCTGGCCAGACGACGGTTGTAGCATCTCCAAAATAATGAGAACAGTAGTTTGGAGTACTAAAGGGTCTGCGTCCTAATCGCGACATCATTTCATTAACAGAAGCAAACCTGGCTGTTTGTTTTGGACTATACAGACTCTACACAGCAAAAGCAGATGCACACATAGCAACATGTGCAGCTTCCGCATACAGGGACGTAAATTATGACACGTTTTTACTGATGTCTTATGTCTCTTTTATTTGTTCCTCTTTAAATGCACCACCATTTCTTTCAGATGTTGCTTCCAGACTGTCTTGTGATTTTTTTAAAGTGTAATAGTTCTTCACTCAGTTTCACTTTCAAGGGTTTTATTTATGAATGTTTTGAGGAATCGGGAAAAGGGGACAACAAAGAAGATGTAGCGGGTCTAAAAGTCTATCTGCAGCACGTGAACTGTATCTGAAACTCAAGAAATGAGATCAAATCCAGCAAAGATCGGACACATGGACTCTTCACCAAAGCTTCATCAGAAACGGCCTCCGTAGAAGGCTGGCTGTCAGGAAGATGGAGGAAAGGCTGAGGTGTGTCACATTACACAAGAACTGGACTGAAAATCAGTGTCAGCGGGTCTGATGAGGTGCTGAAGCCAAATTTGAAGCATTAGTCAAAAGTTAAAATCAGCGAATGAAGATGTGATCGGCTGATTTCTGCCACATGTAGTCAAGAAATGACTTTGTCTGACTTGTGGCCCATTTCCGTTGGCAGCCATATTCCCATACATGCCTTTTACATGTTCTCCATCACGTTTTATGCTTCGCCGTTCCTTTCCTCCGTCTGGGGTTTGTTTTTGCAGAAACAGCCTGTCTGGTCGGGCCTCCTCGCTCTCCAGTGTAATGAGCAGTTCATGAAGTCATCTTTTGATTGGAGACTTCTGCTTCTGTGAGACTGTTGTGCTGAGCTGGTTCAGTCTTCATGTTGAAGACGTTTTATTTGACAGCTGCTAAACTTTGCACTCGCTCTCTCCAGCCTAGTATGGCCTCGTCCACAGCAGCTCCTGTGACCTCATATTGAGACTTGTAGTGCACAGCTACCAAAGCAGGTTCAACATTTCACAGCACGTCCAGTGTAACAAGAGAATAAAACACCATCTGGCCATGAAACTGCTTGTCAGCTGTTCTTGCTTTACTGTATATAAATGCCACTTGTTTTGCACATATTCAACTCTGTATATTTTATATATTTTATTATTATTATTATTATTATTTTTTACTATTTAATTTGTAAAAATGTGTATACACACACACACACACGTAGGAAAATATTTAGTATACACATCCAGAAATGCATACACTATTATATATTGTACATATATTTATTAGTTTCAGGTTGGCCATTCTTGTATTTTGCTCGTTTGTGTTGTTGTGTTTGCACATCTCTGTTGCTTGTGGGGCTCGCACACAAGAATTTCACTCGCATGTGCTGTGCCAGTGTGCCTGCACATGTGATGTGACAATAAAAGTGATTTGATTTGATTGTTGTTCAGCCTCTGGAGATGGGAGATGTAAAATCCTGTCTGCGTGCTCTCTGTAACTGTGTAACAATGTCTTTGTCCTGATATATCGGACTGAAATCTGTAACTGCTTGCAGAGTTTTGAGCTCTAGATGTCAGTGCGCTGTTAGTACAAAGTCAAACTGATTCCTCAGAGGAAGTTTTGAAGGTTTTCTAAAAGAGGATTTTGAAGTTGGTGTGATGCAGAACTTTAACTCAAAATTATGAGAGCTGAAGACAAACAAAGCAAACACCACACGAGACAATATACAGTACGTGCTGGTTTATTAAGCAGAGTTTAAGTCCCCGTTCTTACAGCTCTCAGGCAGGAGAAACATTCAATAAGGATTTAGTATCAGTGATGTCACTGATGACAAATTTGATTCGATGTTTTCAGATGGGAGCTTTTTAAATGTAAAGATGAATAACCCAGAACAGCACTGCGTGGGCCGAACCTCCCTCTGCTTCTGCTTTGTCTGTTACAAGTAACACATCACAACATCCAGCCACAATCATTACAGTTACCACATAATGTGCAACAGAAAGCCAAATGATTTGAATATGTACACATATGTGACAGAGGAGACAGAAAACCATCATTTGCTGGGAATCATTCGGGCCTTTGTTGCTCTCCTTGAATTATTAATGAAGCCATAATGTGCTGTAAACCGAGCATGAGGAGCAGGAGGATAACTCCAACAGAAACAACATTTGAAGTGGTTTTTAGTCATATTTGAGCTTTAATTTCACTCCTTGTTTTCCCTCTAGTCTCTTTATCATTTAAACAGAGAAGGCCAAGGTTTCCTGTTTGACTGACAATCACACGCTGCCTCTACACAGAAAAGCTCAGGCTACACACAGGGACACTCATTGTTATGCTAAAGATACCAGTGCTTCATTTAATTTACACAGCACATCGTTTTTTTCTAATATTTTTTGAAAATGTTGAAAATCTTCACAGGTCATTAATAATATATTAGTGTAAATATGAACAGTTTTGAGGTGTTCAGCAAAGCTACACTGAGAATTATCACAATGATTTACAAGATGTGATCCAATGTTTTCATGTTTTTTAAAGATCACTCCCTGGAAGTCCCACCTCAGAGTTGAACTGCTGCATCGAACTTTAACTCACACCAAACATCAACTTCTATTTCAAAATGAGCCAGATGAGGCGCAGAGCTTATCCAGCTGAAGACTTCTGCAGCATTTCTTCAACCAACATTTTGGGTAAAGTTGTACACAGTAAAAAACAAAGAAAGATGGAATAACTGGGACTAAAGCGAGATCTGACATCAGCTACTCCCAAAGGACTTTGGTGTTGAAAAGAGCAAAAGGAAAATGTTGTCCTCAAGCAGTCATGATGTTATTCTTCGAAGAGAGGCGGAGGAGAGAGTTTCAGTTGGAAACTTTCTGTTCCCAGCTGGACGGAGAACAGAGATCCTGTTTTCTCGTGGCAGTGGGAGACTTCTGAAAGCATGGACAACTAGGAAAGAGAGAAGATATAGAAACAGAAGAAAAAAAGATCATGGTCCATCCTGATGCTCACGTGGGCATTGTTGATGTTGTTGGTGGTGGATAGCACGGCACCCTCGCTGGTCTGCAGCCTGACTGACTGCAGCTCAGGAGGCTGAGCTAAACCACAGGTTGCATGGCTTCGGGAGTGACTGTGCGTTGTTAGGAGCCCTCAGTCCCTGTGCAACCGCAGTGAGAGCTTGGATTGTATCGTCAGTCTGGAGCTGAGTTTCCAGGATTCGGTTTTCCTGTTGGACTATTATCAGGAACACTAGTCAACATTAGATCAGAGTAGGTTAGATAAGTATAATTCAAGGGATTTGATTCTGTTTTTATTATTTTTGGGTTGTGCTTTAATAAAATATCACACATTCAAATAGTCTAAATTGTGCATATTCCTTTTTTAACCCTTTGTGAAGGTAAAAACTTGAGTATCACGGGGCGATCGTGGCTCAAGAGTTGGCAGTTTGTCTTGTAATCGGCAGGTTGCCGGTTCCAGCCCCGGCTCGGACAGTCTCGGTCGTCGTGTCCTTGGGCAAGACACTTCACCTACCGCCTACTGGTGATGGCCAGAGGGGCCGATGGCGCGATATGGCAGCCTCGCCTCTGTCAGTCTGCCCCAGGGCAGCTGTGGCTACACCTGTAGCTGCCTCCACCAGTGTGTGAATGTGAGAGTGAATGAATAGTGGAATTGTAAAGCGCTTTGAGGGGTCCTGAAAAGCGCTGTATAAACAATCCATTATTATTAATAGAGTTTAAATAGCTCTTACAATTTACTCCAGATTTCTAACAGTTCAACTGAGTGGCTTGGCACTGATCTAGAGGGGGGCTGATGAATACTGGGCCTGCAAGGCAACTCAGGGTTCCTCCCAGTGGAGGAGGGAGGGTAGACATTCAGAAACCAGTGGCCTCGCTCATCAACTCCATCTAGACTCTGCACTGCCTGCTGACCCACAGAAACATACATCAGGATTAGATAAACGGGGACTTCCTGTTTTGGGGTGCTGGTCCCACAGATGGACACACCCTACCAAGGCTACGTGCACTGAAATAACTGGATACAATAAGCAAAGACTGCTTCGGCCTCTTTTATCTGGTTTTTTTTACCAGTTTCGTGGCTCAACCTGCCAAGAAACTGCTTATCGGTCCGTCCAGTTACTTCTGAGCCTCTGAAAGTGCAGTTTTGTGTAAAAATAGCTATAATGTCTGAACAGCTAATGCAACACTTCTGTGCAACAAGCCTGCACGTCAATCACATCTTGACTGTTTGACATTTCAGAGCAGTACACAAGCACACAAACTCACCTGTAGGATCACCTGCTTGTGTTTGTTTTTACTGCTGTTGTGTAATGATAACTGTTTTTAAACTATAACAAAAAACAACAAGCACTGCGTCACATTAATTTCAGCATCAGTGGAATCTGTCATGTCCTAATGAAAATGTGCTTGTTTTAATACCCTGGATGGTCCTCGGTATAAGCAGCGGATTTCATCCCAGGACTGCTCCTGCTGAAGGTCCAGTGTTGCCTCAGCGAACACCTGCGTCACAGCACATACACCACAGACGCTCTATTACGATGTCATTTGTTACATATTGTGTAAAAAGTGCAAAAATGACAGTAATTTAGAAAGAAACCAGAACTGCAACAGTTATTAGTTTGATTCGTCTCACATTCGGTTGATGAGACTCACGTTAACTACAGAATGCTGTTGACATTAATGTTGACATTAAACTGCAAACTGAGATTTGAGTAGAATAAGTTGTGTACGTGATCCATGATTTCAGAGTTATTGCTCAGAAAACGTTTGAGCAGAAACAGATCAGCAGAGGGCCACAGCGCGACGCCCGGGGGTCGATCACAAACCTACCTTCTTCCTGAGAGCCGACGCCCCTGTGTCTTGGCGTGCTGATGTCACATGTGTCTGTGGCACAGAGAGGGACAGCGTTGTTTCAGCCATGTTAGTTTCAGGACAACGTTCCTCATCCTTGGACTCAACAATGAAATCAAAACAGCAAGGTTTGGAAGTCTGCCCAGCTCCGCCCATGTCATGAAACGCAACATCAGAGCATCTGGTTTAATAGGATGTATCAAATGTGTCATTTAAATACAAACGTGTGTGTCCACAGAAACACCAAACAGATAAAGCAGCCATTAAAGATCAGGTGAACAGATTGCACAGAAAGACGTCAACACGGACCCCCCGGCAGCACGCACACGGACACGCGTGTTACCACATCGCACAGACTCGAAAACTGCAGGTTTCGTCACTCGACGACCAAAACTCATCGAACCAACAGCAAAACATCGTCATGAATTTATCTTGGCTTCGCTGTCATGCTTCCACCACAATAAAAGCCCACCAGTTTCCCATCAAAGGTTGATGCTGGTATGTTCTGCATTACTCGCTTGCTTTTATGAACCAGCTGTTTGGTACAGCCGCTGTTTTCCCCTCAAAAGTGACCTCTGACAAGAAAGCCTCATTTCTGCTGTTCAGTACCAAAGGAAACTAATTAGGCTCTAAGAAATCTCTTCGTTTCTGTTTCCACTCTCTGCTGTAGAAAGTTCTGTTTCTTTATGACTAAAAAACAAAAACTGGACAGTCTGAAATGATCTGACGTTTTATTTCTTACAATTTAAATCCAAAGAGTCGTGCTGATGGGTTCCTGTCTTTTTCTTCATCATGTAGAAAAACAGTTAAATATGTAACGTCTTCACACTGACAGAAAGGAGTGGGCTGTAGGTGGTCCCCCGTTTAAAATGAGTGTGACACCCCTGCTGTGTCCTTTCTTGTTGGATTAGCTGTTTGGTTTTTCTCCTTTAACTGCATCAACATCTCTGTGCCAAAGGGTCAGCTCCAGCTGCAGGTTCAGTGCTTGGAATGACCAGAGCTTTAATCAGCCCTATTTGCAACACAATAACAAGGAAAGATGAGACTGTGGGCTGTCTGACAAAATCGCTTCAAGCCACTGAAAATGGGAGACAACAGTTAATGCTACGCTTTCTAAACCCCTGCTGAACGTCTGCAGTCACATCTGTACTGTCTGATTCCACTCAGCCATAAAGGTTTTCATGAACATGTGAGCAGAATACATTTTGCTTTAGTATTTTTGAACAAACTTCTATCATTTCATGCTGGGTTAAAGCACTGACATATCTTCTTTCACTGACACACACACACACACACACACCTGTGCCAGAGATGTGCTACGGCCTCTCTTTGGTTCAGTGGAAGGCCCGACTCTTCCTCCGTGGATGGCCGAACACTTGTAGCACCTCCACTGCCGCTGCAGCTCTGAAGCACAGCCCCACACACAATCTTTTTGCTGCAGGCACTGCAGGTGGTACAGGTGACCACAGCTGGAGAGACAGACATTCATAAACAGTCATTTTAATGTCGATGGATTGTTTTGCTTTTAGCAACAAGTTCCATTTAAGAAAGCCTAGTGAAGGGATCTGTGAGCTGTGGGCCAAGGATTCTAATAATGAGCCATAACCAAAACTTCTGGCATAATCTGGATGGGGCGGTGTAAAATTCAATCAGTAGACCGGGTCTGCTTTTTGTCTCATAGGGCCTCTGCTGGGCTTTAGCATTACGTGGTTTGCATTGAGGTCTTTCAGACATTATTGCTGCTGTGTGCATTAAGGCACTCCCAGAGCAGGTCATTCTGACTGACTGGCTGCTAATGAAGATCACTGACTGTTTTCTCCTCAACTTATTTGGTTTTCCTTCTCCCTCCCATCATCACTAACCAGTCGCAGCAGATGGCCCCGCTTTTTCTCTAAAAGAATCGAGTCTTTAACTTACAGTTTGATGCGCTTTGACAAAACTGTTTAAATTTGTGTTATTTAATAAACCTGAATTGAATCATTTCAGTTGTTTTGGTCAGGCCATTATCCTCGGACGATGACTGCCTACAAGACTTCACTGATGCTCAATGACAACATTACTTAACTTTAGATTTTGCACAAGATTGCTTAGTTCACTAGCTTATCATGTTGGTAAAACTCTCCATGACGGCATCTTAATCACAAATGGCTTATTGATTATATGGAAAATGATGAGATCATTAAAATTATAGGACACAGACATGAGACGACATGTAACAGGTCATACAGGCTCTGCGGGTGAAGAGCAGATCAGAAAATAGTTATTCAACATAAAGTTTATAAAAAGATGATTCAGTTTGTTACTTGTTACCAAGACCTGGGTATGATCAGCTGTGAGCCTTTTAAGTCATAAATATTGTATAAACAAGGTGTCACGACTGATTAACAGAACATTGGTTTGTCATTGTTAATGTGTTATTCAATGTTCATAAACTAATACTGAGTTACAGTCATGATGCGTGCTAATGACACTTTGGCAATAACAAAAGAAGAAACAGGGAGTGCAAACAAGATTATACAAAAAGTAAAGGAGCTGGAAGAGTTTCCCATGTAAACACACACACATATGTATACATATATAATGCGTGTGTGTCACCTGAAAACAATGATCTCCTCAGATGCGTCCTGCCTCCTCTTGTACTGCTGGAGGCAGATGTTACAGCAGTCTTGTCGTGGGTGGAGTCCTCTTGTGACAGCAGCACGCAGGTGAGCCAGGGACCAGTGGAGGTCGTAGTTCAACAGATTGGTGGTTGTTTCAAGTAAAGTCTGAAACATTTTTTTTCTTAGTTATGTCGACATTCATGTGCCATAAAGAGTTCAAAATGTGTAATTAGAATAACGTGTTTCCTTCACAGATCAAGGCTAAAGATTATTGTCACACCATGACTACATGAGCAGCACAAACCGCCCGTTTCAACCCATCAGATGGTAATGATGGGTTGAAACGGGCGGTAATGTCGATGCTATGCTGAAAACGTTTCCAAAGGCATATGTCTGCATTCATGCAAACAGCAACATGTGTGTAAGAGCTCGAGAGGTTCTGATTCATCTGTTTTTGCTCCTGGCAAACAACGATCATTAACACGTCATCATACAATGCTATTGTCCATGGAGACACGTCTCTATAATATGGTTCCTTTCATATACCCAACTCAAACAGCTGTTTAGAACACAAATATTACCTGCAATTCACACACACACACTGCTCGTGCCTATGGTACGACAACTTTTCTCCGTGCCCCTGGTACACCGCTCAGTAGCACTTTGCCACACAAACACACCAAATCAAAACACTTTTATTGTCACATCACATGTGCAGGTACGTTGGTACAGCACATGTGAGTAAAATTCTTGTGTGCG